GAGCACACCACGTTTCACCACGCTACCCGTCTGTTCCCTACTCACCCAACATTATGCAAATGCATCGAGCAGCTTTTCCTTACTTCCACTAGCGCCTCGCTAGATCTTTCCTGACAGAGAGGTTGTAGTAAGGGGGGGTGAAGGGGGCAGCACAAGAGATGGGCTGTGGAGGACTCAGCTTGGGGGGCTTTGAGAGGAGGCTGACGGCTTGACATGTTAGTGCACAGGTCTGCCCAGTGGTCTGCAGTAGGATTGTTTGGGGGGTCCTATTTTTGGAAAGGGCCAATATGTTGAGAACTTTTCCAGGAAAGGACTATTTTCTCCATCTCCTGTTTTGACAATTTCAAAATGAAAGTTTTGGGGTTTGTTTAAAAACAAAAAGTTGCTTTGAAGAATAAAGTAGTCCTGGGAAAAATGTGAGTAAGCAAGGTCTAAACTGAAGCAGTACAGTTTGAAATTACCAAAACGAAAGATGGTAAGTAAACCAGGTTTTGTCTTTTGCTATTTGAAGGCTGTCCAACATGAAAATTCTTGTTTCCTTCCACAGAAAAAAGCCTCATTTCTTTCTGATTCCAAAACTGAGAGGCCCTACTTCTGCAAACCCACAGGCATGAATTAATTTTGTTAATTTAATTTTTTCCCCAAAACAAAAGAACCATTTGTATCATTGTAAAACAATTTGTACCCACCTCTAAGCAGGAAAAAAATAATTACTCTCCCTTAATGCAGTTTTTCAAGATGATGTAGCCAGAATGAATTCAACTATATGTGCTTACGTTTGGGGTCTTTTGAACAGTGCCTCATGAAGTACCTATTCATATCATAGAATCATAGAATCACAGAATCATAGAATGGTTTGGGTTGGAAGGGACCTTAAAGACCATCTAGTTCCAACCCCCCTGCCATGGGCAGGGACACCCTCCACTAGACCAGGTTGCCCAAAGCCTCATCCAACCTGGCCTTAAACACTTCCAGTACCTTCTGTCTTCATCTGCTCCTGTACACCAGCAAGAAAGGAAAAACAGCCTCCCTCCTCCCCCCATTGCCTTTGCAATTCAAAGCCATTGCTAAAAACAAACTTCAAAATGAGGCACAAAGTTTCCATATAGGCAGATGTTATCATCTTGAAATTCTACAGTTACTATATAGTGTCTCAGATCCTTGTTCAGATGTTTGCATAGATCCCAGTGTAGTCAGGTAACAGATACTCTGAATAATCAGAAAGAGGAGTATCAGCTACCTGATGAACTGAATTATCGGTCTCTTGATTTTGAGAGATTAAGGTATAGCATGTAACAAAAGTCTGAAGATCGTTGCATATTATTGCTTTATAGATCTCAAAGGTATTTTTCTGAAGCAAGATGTATGTGCTGCTTCCAATCTAGTGAAACACTGACGTTTGCAGGGAGAGATGGGCAAGATTTGTGGCCAGCTGATAGCAAGTGGAGATGCAGAACTGTTATTCTCAGCCTCACTGGTGAGATGAGTTGGGTTTTGGTAAGCCAAATGTACAGAGAAAAAGTTGGAGGTAATCTAAAAAGTTAACTCCTATCAGTTAAATTGTGTATGTCTGAAACAATCAAACTGTTGCATATTTGCTCTTATTAGAACATTTCTGTGGATGACACTGTGCAGAATGTTTGCCAGCTAGGTCCTTCACATCTGGTTGCTTTCCATTTGAGCTGATAATGACCAAGAGAACCAAGAAAAGAAGCAGGATCCAGTGGTGCAATCGAAAACAAGCTCCTTGAATTTAGTGTGAAAATGTCAGGTTGATCTTAAGGAATTTGGACAATGTTAAGAATGAGATGACCATTGGTATCACTTGCAGTACAGTGGCAAGGTGCACTTGGAGCCAAGACTCAACCAGTCTGTTTAAAATGCAGCATCACAGACAAGGACCTGTGGCACCAGGGCCAATGAATTATGCTGATTGTTCCTAATTTGAGCATTTTCCCTTTGAAGGAATAGGTCTGCCTTGTAGGTGGGTGTCCACTGTGTAGAATGATTTCTGTCTCCTGCTG